GGGCAAGGGGGCAAAAGGCCAGAGACCTGAGCCCTGCTTACAGGGAGGTCACCCGGCGCAGTGCCAGCCAGGACACCAAAGGTGCCAGCAATGGCACCGTGGGGAGGCCCCTTTGCCCTGAGCTCCCTCCTCTCCCCCCAGCCCTCTCTTCAGCCCACCGCTCCTCCTCTCCCTCGCTCTGGCCTTGCAGCTCCTTCACGATGCCTTGTCTTGCTTCTCCAGGGTCTGCTGCTCAGAAGGCGCAGCCAGGTGCCAGCTCCCCCACCCAGAGGACAGATCAGAGGCCCTGGCCCTGCTGACAGGGCACTGGCACAGCTCAAAGCATTGCCAGGGCTACGCAGGCTGGGCCCGTGCGCGGCTCGCAGGCAGTTACCTCCCAGCCTCCTGACTTCCCCCAGGCCTGTCTCTCTTCCTCCCAAACCGCTCCCAGCACTGAGAGCAGAGATAAAGAGGGCTAGGGCCAGGGCAGGGCATGGCATGCCCAACCCCTCACGTCTCAGCCCCGCGCCTCTGAAAGGCCGGGGGCCGGGACACCTGCCTGCTCACATGGGGTCCCTCCCAGCACCTCCCGCTGAGCACAGGCCATGCTCACGGCCCTGCTTACAGGGCTTTCCCCCGGGGCTTGGCACGCTCAACAAGCCCCGTGGAGCTCCAGGCTCCGCCCTGCGCCCGAGTTACGGGCCGGCTGGCCTGGCTGCAGCTCACCACCATGGCACGCTTTAGGAGCTCCACTTCCAGCCCCAGCCGTGGAGACGTTGCTGCTAGCCCCCCTTAGAAGGTTGCCACCTGCCCGGCAGCCTGACCATGGGGTGACGTGGCACAAGGCCGGCAAAACCCCAAAGACCCGAGCCCTGCTTACAGGGGGGGGTCACCCGGCACAAAGCCAGCCAGGGCACCAAAGGTCCTGGCGACACGCTGGTGCGACCACAGTCCCGGTGACAGGGAGGTCCCTTTGCCCAGAGCGCCCTTCTCTTTCCTCCTCTTGCTGCCCAGACTTCCTCCGCTGCTCCTCCCGCTCACTCTCAGCCTGCAGTGGTACAGGACGGAGACCTCCACGCTGCTCCGCCACCTGATGCCAGGGCAGGAGGATGCCATCAGGTCCAAGAGCGATGCTGGTCCCCGGCAAGAGCTGGCCACAGCACCAGCCGAACCCCGGCTGCCCTCCCACCACACACCCTGCAAAAAAAACCTCGCAGATCGGCTTTTCTCCCCCAGTCACTGCTCCAGCACTTCGTGCAGGGAAGACTGTGACGGGCACTCGTCTGCAATGGGCTCCTGGCAGCGTCCAGCGGGGCCTGGACCCTCCTCAGCCCCTGAAGCGATGGCGGTCCCCCCTCACGAAGCTCCAGTCCCCCCATGCGCCCTGAAGCAGCTCTGCTGCCCATCCTAGGCAACGACACTGGCCCCCCGCCCCGCAGCAGCTTTGATTTCCCCCCAAGATAGCTCCAATCCCTCAGCCCCGGGTCAATCCGCTTCTCCCCGAGGCAGTGCCGACTTGCGCTCCCCTTTTTACTCAGGCAGCCGCTCCGCACCTCAGAGCAGCGCTTTGCCCAGAGCGCGCTTCTCTTTCTTCCACTTGCTGCCCAGACATCTTCCGCTACTCCACCTGCTAACTCTTACCTTGCACGGATTTCTGCGTGCGGTGGATGTCTCTCCTTTCTCTGCCACCAGGTGCTGCAAGGGCAGGAGGGTGCCATCAGGTCTGAGAGCAACGACGGTCCCCAGCGAGAGCCGGCCATGGCACCACCCGAACCCTGGCCGCCCTCCCACCACCACCCCCCCCGAAAAAACATCACTGATCAGCTTGTCTTACCCAATCGGTGCTCCGGTGCTGCCACATGTGGAGTTGCAGCCAGCGCTGGAGCTGGGCTCGGAGTCGGGCACTCTGGGCAAATGGAGCTGGGCATGCAAAGCGGCGGCCACAGAGACTGCGCCCCTGCTTACAGGGGGCTCGAGCCGCTGCTGGGACTGCAAAGTGACTGGGACTGCAGGGCACGGGCCAGGCTCTGACTTACAGGGCAGCCCCAGTCCCAAAGACACCCGAGGCCCCTCCTCTCCAATACAGGGACACCCTGACCTGCACCCCACTAACAGGGCTGCCACCCCACACAAGACGCCAGCCAAGCACTATCGAGAGTGCCGGGCGCTGTCTGCCCTGAAGGCAGGTGAATCGGCAGCAGTGGCCTTTACCCAAAAGGTTCTGGGGGCTGGGGCAGAAGTTCCCATAGGGGGTTTCTCATCGCTTAGAAGCTGCCGCATCACTGCAGAGCAGCTGGTTGCAAGGGGCTGGCAGCTGGGGCCCACCACTGCTGCCTGTCACCCTAAATCTCCCCCTGCCCTGCTGTACCCCCGTCCCCTCTCCCTTTGCGCTTATACCTCCAGGCCACCGGGCACCACCAGGTGAGCAAATGGGGTCTGAGGCAGCTGGGGCCCGGGGCAGAGGGTAGGGGGGAGGAAGGAGGGCCGGGGGCCAGAGCATGCTGAGGGAAGGTCCCTCAGGGGGTCGGTTTCCCCATCATCCAGGCAGAGCAGATGGTGCCTGACTGCACCTGCCTTCCAGGCACCAGCTCCCGGAGAAGAAAGAAGGAAGAGGCATCCGTGGCCTGCAGAATAAACTACGCGGCGAGGGCAAGCGAGAGGAGGAGCGGCACGCTGAAACAGGGGAAAGAGAAAGGTGCTGTGGGCAAAGGGCCCTCCATGTCACCAAGGCTGCTGTGGGATGTAAGCATCTTGGGCAATTCTGGGAGGGTCTCGAGGACTCTGGGGCAGGTACTTGGCTCAGGGCCGTTCCCTACGTTTCTAGAGGCTACTGTGGTTCTCGGTGAAGGGGACACAACTGCCAAGCGATTGCCCTCGGAGGCCGGGGCCGCAGACGCCGCTCGCTACCCACTCCTCCTGAGAGGGCGGGGCACGGGCCCAACCCTGCTTACAGGGCCGTCGGGCTGCTCATGGGGTCAGAGGGCTCCACGGCTCGTGGCACTCGCCCCGAGTACAGGGCCGGCACGCTGGCAGGTCACCAGCAGGACAGGCAGCCACCCAGGCAGTGACCCAGGCCCAGACTGCTGGCGGGTCACGCGTTGGCCGTGCTACGACCACGCGGCTTGGCTCTGTCCTTGAAAAGGAGGGGCAAGCCGGGACTCGCCCTCCGCTCGTGGGCTCAGCAGGGACCGACCCCCTGTTGCTGCA